CAACTGGCCTTTTCTCCAGATAACAAGATGTAAATACAGGACTGAATATTATTATGTCTATCTGGGAGAACCATTTGATAGGTTTTGCTAGCAAAAAGCCCCATGAGCATTCCTGTCCTGGTCACTGATGGCTTCTGCTAGTAACTAGGAGCTGACTCACTGCTGCTTCTCTCAAGAGATAAATGTTTCTACAGCTAGTGGCAGAAAATTAGATGGTTTTCCAATAAAGCCCAGAAAGTGATTGCCATTTGTGTTATCTTTTGAATATAGGAAGAGAAATTTCAGATCATCTTAAATAGTTTGGGGAAGGAAAAAAAAAAAGCTTATAGTTTTGCAACTTTCTTTTTTTTCATTATTAGGAAAAAAAAAAAGAGGGATGAGAGGCTTTTTTTGTTCCTTTTTTTTTTTTTGAGTGTGTGGTAGAATTTCTGGAATAATACATACAGACTTGTCAATAAAAATCGCTTCTCTAAATATTAGCAATGATTGGCAAAACTTTCTTGGCTACAGCTGTGGATAAAAAATGGCTGATTTCTAAAGCATCTTGTAAATTATTAGGAAAAGGCTTTAGAAATCTCTCAAAAATGGAAAATCATATTCAAGATTCCCACTGTAAACCAATTATTTTAGATTGTCTTAGGAAAAGGAAAGTTTTTCTTCTTTCTAAAAAACTAATTCAGCCAATGGATTTCCCTGTAATATGTCTTTTAATGGATTTATTATGAACAACCATGGCAACAATAAAAGAACTGTAGGATATGAGCATGAAGAATAATGATCCGTTCAGAGGCCAAACTTTTGCATATGTTAGTCAGGAATATTAAAAAATATGAATATACTGGGAAGATGAGCTGAGACATTAATCAAACAGAAGAAAATGTAAGAGAAGATTTTGCAGAAATTTTCATCATCAATTGATATATTGCAGTGTTTCAAGTAAAATAGAAAAAAGATATCTCTAAAGATTAATAGAAATGGAGCAGCACTGGAAGTGAAATTGGAAAGATTCTGGAAAGATTTCAGAACTCATTTTGGGATGATAAGGTGATACTGTTTCAGGTCTGGAATCCTTTTCTGTCTCCAATGAGATAAGGCTACTAGGAGTCCATCCTTGGGAAGACAGGAAGCTTGTACAGTGATGTGATATGTGTGTATATGTACACAAATATATATACATTATATGATATTACAAGGGGCAGCTCTCACCAGACCACAAGTGTGCCAAGTTACTGCCAGTGCTTGCTGATATGTAGTTGATAATGGTATCTAGAGGAATATTTTTTTTCTTCGTTGCCCATCTTGCCAAACTGCGAGAGGAAGGGGGTGCTTAAAGAGGTTCTGCTATGCCATGGGCTCAGCAGGTAATTTCAGTAGAACCCTTCTAAGATTTGTGCTGAAAAGTTTTCAGCCTTCTAATTGATATTTTAATAGAAGGAAACCCAAACATAGCGTGTATTTAATGCTGCCTTTCTGAATTTCTCTAGAAAAAAGTCCTATGGCATAGGGTTAGACTTCATGTTGTTTGCCCTAGATACAAAATTTTTAGATTATATTCACTGAACAGTGAGTGCTTATCCAAGAATGCTGTAAAACTGATTAAATGATCAAATATTTGGCATTTCTTCGGCTATGTATGTGTGAAAAACAAACACTTAAATCTCACAGGAAATACTAAATATTACGGAGACAACACTGTGAGTGGTTCTTATTCTCTCAGTTGTTACAGGGCTCATGCTCTTTTCTCTCACAATAGCTCCCCCAATTATCTGAGGACTTTAGAAGTCTTTCAGAAGTTTTGATTACAGCCAATGGCATCCTAAAGTAGGCCAGGGATAAAAGAGTATCTCGCAGTTCGTGAATAATTGAGTAGGCTTCTGTATAACAATGAGGTGCTTTATGCAAGGCAAATGTTTGTTTGCTGTGTGCTCACATCTGCACCTATTTATTCATATTTATAGGTAAATTCATATGCTAATGCTTTTTCAAACACTGAGATACACGCTGTCTCCTGGTATAATAAGTTAAAATGGTGCTGAAATGCAGTGGAACTGTAAATTTTTATACCAGCTTTAAAAGTAGGTTAAAAAAAAATAAAATCCAAATGCAAGGCTGTCCCTTGGTATATGTCCATGCCATGTCAGGAGCTTCTTTTGAGCCATTCCGTTCTTCAGATCTCTCCTCTCCCTAAAAGCCTGGAAAACAGATGTCAATAAATTGAAGCAGCAAGAGTCTAAAGTTTATGGTTCTCTCTTGTTGGTATTCAGTGTTCTCTTTTAGAGGCAAGGGTTCTTCATTGCCACAGTCCATGTGCTGAAACCTTGGAATTCAACCCAGTGCTGGAATTTGGGAAAAGGCCTAATAAGGAGCATCCATAAAGATAACTAGCATCTAGCCCTCTTCAGTGGATTCTCTGAAGAGCCCACTAATAAGGGGGTCAAAGCATCTCCCTTGAATTTTATCAGTTCAGCTGCAAACCTTCAGTCTCACTTCCACGCTGTCCCTGGTTGATAGCCGCTGAAAAAAACTGGAGTTGCCATTCAGGAGACCCTGCTCATTTGTCACCGAGGCAATTGGTTTGGAGTATGCATTAGGTGACCTTTTATCTGGAAAATATTCTCATTCTTGCAGGGAGACATCTGACTCCTTGACTTTGCATATCAAGTTTTCCATTTATCATGGATGCTTCTGATGTACTGGATCTATCTGGTAGTTTGCATTATAATTAAATAGGACCATGCCATATATATTAAAAAAATAAAGAAGAAAAAGAAGAAAAGACAAAAAAAACCAAACCAAAAACATCAACAACCTTCAAAAAACTTATCAGTCCATTAACACAAAAATTCTGTTATCTTATCACCAGCTGTCTAGAATTCAGGTCATTTGTAAAATGTGGATTCTGTGGCTGATGCTAAAACCACTGATGATGGGGTCTGTAGGCTGATCTGTTTCTCTTAAAGAGAAGCCTTTGAGGACTGGAAACCATTAAGGGTAGAAAATGAAAATAAGGAAATCAATAAAAGATTTGAAATGAAGGCAATGGTTTTTACCCTGATAAAGAACTTAGGCTAAGACTTTCTTCAGAGGAAGAGAAATGAACTGAAAATACTCATATAGTAAAAAAAAAAAAAAAACAAACAGATCCCAGAAGAGTCAGGAATTTTAATGAAAGCAATACTTTTATTAAATGAATAAATATGACCCCTCTGGACAGTTGGTGCTATTGCTTTTAGTAAGGTCAAATTTAGGGTGCATATCTACCTGTGTGTGGAGCTTTTCACACCATAACCTAGTGAAGAGTTACTGTGGGTTAATGAAGAGATAACGGTGGCAGCAGTGCTGTAGCTTTGATAAAGTAAACTGGAGCACTGCCAAGGTGTTATTTGAAGAAAGTACTATCTAATAAACTTGGTTTATGATGTCCCACAGTGTAATGTCATTTTTTTCAGGAAATATGATATTGTCTTTGCTTTCCCCCAGGTTAAGTGAAGTAATTTCTGAGATAGGAAGTACAGTTGTACAGTTGCCACTTTACAACCTTAGTAGAAAAAGGCTAAAACTTCTTTGCTTTGTAAGAAGTATATTTGCAGAGATTTCTTTAGATGCTATATTTTCCACCAAAAGTCTTCATAATTAAACATACTGATACTGTAGTCCAATGGTACATTTTTAGAAGAAAACACTTATTTTGGCTGGTAAGTTCTATCTTGAGATGATAGCATAAGGATAGTGCCAGTATTATTGTATCAAAATGTGTTTAATTAAGATTAATTACTTTAATGATACTATATTTTCTGCTTATACTTTGTTTAGAAAGCATCACACTGATGGGAAAACTCTTTATTTTAGCTCTCCCTGCTTGTATTTCCTTGTTTGTTTGTTTTTGGTTGTTTTTTTTTTTTTTTGTAGTGGGAGATTTGTTCCCACTGAAATGAAATAATACCATATTTCTTGTATTGTGAAATAAAGTTTTTTAGAATATCTGCAGAAATAAGGCTGTTCTCCACATGTGGCAAATGGACCTATTAACTAGTATGGGGTTTTTTTTATGGTTTTCAATGTATCCTTGAAGTAATAACATAAAATTCCAATACAATATTGTTTATAGAGCTCCGCAAGTACTGAAGAGGAGAATGAAGTAGATTATTTATAAAGATTATGAAACTAGATTAGTATCTAGTCCCTTACTTGTATAATATCTTCTAATTAGCTTCTCTTTGAACTGCAAGTGTATTCTCATTTGATCATTCAGTCTTGATTTTAAAGTTCTGGTTGTGGGAATACCATCAGAATGCTTGGTAAATAATCTGATAAAGTACCCTTGTTGCTTAAAAATGCATTTTAAGCAAATTCTAGTGTGTTTCTTATTAAAACAAAAGGATAATATTGTTTTGTTTGGAGCTTTCTGGAAGAAAGGCAAAAACTTTGTTCCCAAACTTTAAGAACCTACATAGTTTTTCCTTAGAACGTTTGTCATTGAGCTAAGTGAGAGAAGTAGATGCTATTCTTCAGCTTATTTCAGCCTTGTGGGTTTTTTATGTGCATACAAGCTTATCCTAACTGCTGGTGACTGTGTTGTGTTAAAAGCTGAAATGAATGTTTCTCAATTTTATCAATATTCTCACATAAATAGGGTAGAAATGTGAAAGCTAGAAATGGATGGAGTGATTTCTGAAAGTACTTTCTCTAATGACAGCCTTACACTTCTTTTCATAGTCAAAGTTCATGGATTTACTTGCATCTCAAGAACTGTTGAATTTGGCATGCATGAAAGATATGGAAGCAAAAAATTCTACAAAGGACTGACAATCAATATGTATAAATTGATGAACTGGGATTACGTGTGTAGAAATAATTCATGTTCTCAGAATTTTCCTGCCTTTGAAAGTAAAATAGTGTCATTTGTACTTTTTTTCCTAAGTCAGTTATGTAGCTGAATGCATTTGTGATGCTGTCCACGTTTAAAGCCAAACTAACATAACACATCATTTTGTTTGCAGATTTTCAGGCGTTGTTGGTTGGTTTTCAAGAAGGCTTCCAGTAAAGGACCCAGGAGGCTAGAAAAGTTTCCAGATGAGAAGGCAGCATATTTCAGGAACTTTCACAAGGTAAGTCACGTCCTTCTTGTGAACTGAAGCATTGCCTGTTTACCACTCGTCGGCGGGAGGAATGTGTTCTTGGTGTCTCTAGTTTGCAAACAATACAGTGAGAATTCGGTTGAAAACCTAATCCTGACACTAAAAGCACAGTAAAAGGTCTGTAAATCTCAGTGATGCAGGTGAGATATCAACTGTTTTCCAGATGAGCACAAAGCCCCCTCCATGTGTGTGAAGTGACAGGCTGATGTGGGTTTGGTTGTTTTTTTTTTTTCTTTAAACATTGGTATTTTGATAAGGTGTAAAATTGGCTGCTTAATCAAATATTTAACCATTAGTTATTAATTAAATTCTGAAATTCCTAAAGGCCTTGGTTGTAATGGCAACACTAGCTGAATATGTAAAATGTTCCCAGAACTCTCCAAGATTTACCAGCTCTGTCAACAGCATAGATTTTTAAGGGTAAAAATTCAGGATTCACTGGTTGAGATGAACCTCCCTGCTTTCTCTGTCACTGTCACTTCTGTGATGGAGAACAAGATATTCAAGCACAGGTTTTTCTTTCTGTCTTGTAAGTTACTGTTATCAGCTCCTCAAGTCAGTCAGTACACTTCACGTCAGCTAATCCTAAAAGAGGGCAGGGCTCTGTGCTTGTAACCTTCTCTTCTGTCCAGTCCCCTTTACCTTTATGTCATAGCAACCTTGGATACTACCTTAAAACTAGCAAGTTGAAACACAAAGATGATTTAACCAAGGTCACACAGCAAGCACTGGAAGAGTGTGGCTGTGCGTCTTGATCTCTCAAAGGCATGCGTAATGCTTTTTATCATAAAACTACAAATTAGGCTTTAAATTCCAGTAAACTCCTGGTATCTTTTAATGAAAAATGTATACATAATAAATAGCATTCAGTTACCCCATGAATATTTTCTAAGAAAAAGAGCCCCAGTAGTTTCACATTGTGAAAGATCCTGTTTCTGTTCTTATACTGGTATCCAGGTTTAGGACTGATGTACTAGACTGTTAGCACTTTCACTGATGTGCCACAATGCCTGTGCTTGCTCCCAGGTATACAAGGTCCACATTGAGCAAAAGTGAGTCTTCACTTCAACATAAACTTAAAAAAACCCTTATTTTCAAAATGTAACTCAATGATGGGTGTTTAAAAGGATAAATTGGATGGTTTGGACTGATAGCTGTGGTGGGTTTGCCCTTGCTACAGCTTCCCCACTACCAAGACCTTCCCATGCAAACCCAATACATTCCACCCTTCTCCGTGAATCACATATTTAAGAATTATTAAAATCCACATTCATCATGCAATCTTCACACACTTCATTCACATCAACAAAAAAAAAACAACAATTCCTCACACCAAAATCAGAACAATGTCATCACAGTATTGACCAGAAGTGGAGAATTTACACACAATCCACCCCTCGTCCCTTTGCCACAATTACAACTGAAATTCCTCACAGTTAGTCCACTCTTTTCTCTCTAGCTGTGTTCAGTCCATGTTTTGTCTGTTACCTCTCCCAATTATTGTCCTTATCTCAAATTACTCATGCTCCGTGTTGGGCACCAAAAAACGACTGTGATGGATTCACCTTGTCTGGACACCAGATGCCCACCAAGCTGCTCCATCACTCCCCTTCTCTGTAGGACAGGGTGGGGAGAAAATAAGATGGAAAAATATTGTAGGTCAAGATAAATGCAGTCTAATAAACTAAAAGCAAAGGCTGCACATAGAACCAGGGGAAAATGAGATTTTTTTTTCTCTGCTTCCCATCAGCATCAGTATCCACCCACTTCCCAGGAAGCAAGGCTTCAGTACATGCAGAGGTTGCTACAGAAGACAAAAATCATAATAACAAATGTCCCCACTTCCTCCTCCTGTCTCTTTGCTTTTATTGATGAGCAAACATCATACGGTATGGAATATCCCTTCGGTCAGTTTGGGAACACTCTTCTGTCCTCTCAAGATCTTGACCACCCCCACTGAGGAAGGAATGTTGGAGAGACAGCCTTGATGCTGTGGGAGCACTGCAGTATCCAAAACACTGGTGTGTTAGCAACACCCTTCTAGCTACCAGTACCCAGCACAGCACTCTGAGGGCTACCATGGCAAAAGTTAACTCCATCTCAGACACACCCAACACAACCATTGTAGTGATGGCTGAAATCCTGAGCACATCCCTTACCTATGAGGTTTGTAAGGATTAGCAACAGGGCAGAAGGATGAAAGTGTGAGTCTTTGGAGGCAGCCTTTTGCAGGGGGTGGGGGTGTAAATTGTTTTTTGAGCATGTTATTGCCTATAGCATACTTTATGTGTAGAGGGACTCAGAAACACTTTATATGTTGCTCACCAACAAGTTATCTCTGCAGAAAAGTAATGTAAAATGTAAGAATCATTTGAGAAGCTAAAAAAAGTAACAGCTACAGATGCAGTTTGATGTAGTATTGATGGAAGCGTGACCCTTTGCATGTAACATAAGCAATTGTTTTTCACCCCTTGTTTTCCTCTCATTCCACTCCTTGGGGAAAGGAAGGAGGAAGAGAAGGAAATGGATGCTCTTCCTTGTTTAAAAGGATACTGGGTTTATGGCTGTAGAGAAAGAACTGTATCTATTCACTTGGATTATACCCATTTTTCAAATAAAGTCCTGAAATTGTTTCTAAAATTACATTATCAGAAAATAGAAACCTTGAATTGTCTTCTCAGGCTCCATTTTTTTTTTGTTTAAGGATATTTTATTATTTCACAATGATTATTCTCCTCAGCTGCCTCCATTCTGATAAGAGAAAATGGTGAAGTAGATGTGCATGAGTTGCAATTAGTCATCGAGCACCACTATTCAGGGAACGGTATAGGTCATTGTAGGAGCAAATACAGTTGTTTGATTGCTGGTATTGGATCAAAATATCCTGATTATCTTTCTTTCTTTCTTTTCTAGAGCTGCTTATTGCTTTGTTATGTTTTGAAGTAGTTCAAAATGTGTGTTTATTGCTATCCAATGCAAACTGTTAGCCCTCTTTTGAAATTCTGTTTCCTTATTCACTCACAAAACACAAGCAGAGTATCTGGTGTAAAAAGCTGAAGAGTAACTCTGAACTCTAAGGATCAATCTAAAAATTAAATATCATATAAATGAGATCTGATGTTTTTTAATGAAGTTTGTAAGTTGCAAAACTAGCTCCTTAAGAAAGAATGACATACTTGAAAGGGTGAAAGGCTCTGATCACACACCAATGTTCATGTAAGAGTATGAACATCAATCCTGAGATCCTTATTCCTCTACAGTCTCTTCATAACTACTAGAGAGAAGTGGGTGGTGTGGAGGGACTCAGAATGTACTGGGTTTCTCTAGGAACTGATGTCCTTCAAGTTACACTAGGAGAAGGTCTAGGAGTGGCACATAATCTTACCAGACTGTTCTGTGCAGATTTTCTAGGTTTCTTATGCAGAGTTACAGGAGAAACTTTTACCTCAAGCGGAAACATAACAAAAATTCCTACCTTTGATTTATCTTCTTCTCTGGAGAGATTCAAAACCCGCCTGGCCATGATCCTGTGCAGCCTGCTCTAGGTGAACATGCTTTGGCATGGGGCTTGGACAAGATGATCTCCAGAGGTCCCTTCCAACCCCTACAATTCTGTGATTCACTCTGTGATCTGCTTTCAAATCAGTATCTAGGATCGTCAACAGTACCCAAGCATAAGTAACTTATTAGGAGCTCCACTTTCCCACATTTGAGCTTGAAATGGTAGCTAAAATCAAAATCTTGTTTAAACCACTTCACCTAGATGGCTGTCAATCCTCCTGTACTTATGTTATCAACCTCTGCACTAGGTAATATGTATTATATAGGGGGCTAAAAAAAAAAAAAAGAAAAACCAGAACACAGGTAGCACGAAGCTAAGAGAATTAAAAATAGAGATTTTTCTCGTTTACATATCTTAAATATTTATTAATGAGCAAATAAGCTGGCCACTTTAGAAAATGGCCTCCCTTCCCCCGTATCCAGACGGTATGTGGGTTTATTTGTTGTTGTGTAAATTGTCTAATACTGTTGTGCATTGCTTTGGTGTTTTTTTTTTCTAGTAATTTTCTTATTATAAATAACAGTAATGGCATTAGTCCTGCAGAAAAGTGCCTCCTGACAGTAACAGTGAATATTACATTCATTAGTTGAAAGATGACCTCATCTGTTCATTCCAGTTTCTGGTATCAAATTAAAACTTCTCATTACTGTAAATTTAGATCATTACACTCTTGCTTAGGTAAGTTATAGCTTAGCTGTACTGTTTTCCCTGGAACATTCGTTGTAGAGGCTGTGCAGAACAGCTGTGTTTACTTCCACTGCTCCCTGCAAAGAGGTCATAAAGTAGCAATAGCTCTGCATCCATCCCAGGGGTGGGTATGTTCTTGGTAGCTGCTTCTACATGATCAGAAAAGGCTAAAAACAGCTTAAGTAACAATCTTTCTCTTTTTTTTTTTTATTTTGTAAAAAAGACAAAAGGTATGTAAAAACTGAAATTCTTTCAGGCTTTGGAGTCATACTGATCAGTACCAGTGCCTGTTATTCATTAGGAGAGGCTTGCAGGAGCATTACAGGAAGTCAACATGGCTAAGTAGCAGCATGAAGGTTAGTAGAAATGAGAAATCAAAATTTAAAACCTGAAGTGTATCCCAGGAAACTAGAAAGCATTACACACTTGGCAAATTAATTGTTAAAGCAGAATTGGAAAGAGCAAAGTAGAGCTTGAAGGGCGTCTAAGAAGACTTTAAGTCAATACAGATTCTGACCCATCAGGAACAAAAGACCTGCTAAGGACACTGTGAATCCAAATGTGGGTGCAAGAAAGAGAGAAGAGATAAACACATTCACACTGGGATCTACTGGAGGAAACTGGCATGCTGTGGTCTGGGTATAAACTTGATCATAGAGACTTCAACCCCTCTACTAGTGAAGTCTGGAGAACATACACTCACTCAAGAGCCCATAGGGAA